ACATGCCTGAGGGAAGGGATGCCATCCAGAGGGACCTGAATGAGCTTGAGAAGTGGGCCCATGTGAACCTCATGAGGTTAAACAAGGCCAAGTGCAAGGTCCTGCACCTGGGGTGGGGCAGCCCCCAATACCAATACAGGCTGGGGGATGAAGGGATTGAGAGCAGCTTTGAGGAGCAGGACTTCAGGGTACTGGTGGATGAAAAGCCGGACGTGACTGAGCAATGTGCCCTTGCAGCCCAGAAGGCCAGTTGTGCCCTGGGCTGCATCAAAAGCAGCATAGCCAGCAGGTCAAGGGAGGGGATTCTGCCCCTGTACTCTGCTCTGGTGAGACCCCACCTGGAGTCCTGTGTCCAGCCTTTGACCCCCAGCACAGGAGAGACATGGGCCTGTTGGAGTGAGTCCAGAGGAGGGCCACAAGGATGATCCAAGGGATGGAACACCTCTCCTATGAGGAAAGGCTGAGAGGGTGGGGGTAGTTCAGCCTGGAGAAAAGAAGGTTACGGGGAGACCTTATTGTGGCCTTTCAATGTATAAAGGGGTCTTAAAAGAAAGATGAATTTTGTAGCAGGGCCTGTTGCAATAGGATGAGGTGTAATGGTTTTAAACTAAGGGAAGGTAGATTTAGACTGGATATAAGGAAGAAATTTTTTATGATGAGGGTGGTGAAACACTGGAACAGGTTGCCCAGGGAGGTGGTCAATGCCCCACCCCTGGAAACATTCATGGTCAGTTTGGACAGGCTCTGAGCAACCTGATTTAGTGGTAGATGTCCCTGCTCACTGCGAGGAGGTTTGACTAGATGTTCTTTAACGGTGCCTTCCAACCCAAACTGTTCTATGATTCTGTAACTGACAGCAAGGGACTTTGCTCTGTTGTACTCGTACTAGGCGTGTATCGTCGGCTGTTGTCCCCCATCTAAATCCCTTCAGTTTCTGTGGGGAATGGATCAGAATGGAGCGAAGTGTCTGGTGCTGCAAAGTAGCACTGCGGGCCAAAAGGGACTGAGAGCCTGAGGCGTGGGATTAGAGGGAGCTGTGTTAGGAGGCAATCCCGGAAGGGGGGAAGTAAGTTTGGATGATGACATAGGGAGAGAAAGGGCAAGGTCTGTTGAAATAGAGTTGTGGGGTTAATAGAAGCAGGTGAACAGAAGGGAGAGACATCTTACAGTAGACCATGTGTGGTGGGAAAACTGGAATTGTCTTTGTTCAGAAACACTTAGCAGGGGAAGTCAGGGTGCAAGGACTTGATGAAAAGTCTCAGGACGTAAATACAAAGTTTGGGCCAGATTACAGTAGGGAGGGGAGAATTAAATCTGACCACACAAGAAGATTAGAGGCAGCTGGGCTTCATTAAATTTGCCCAGGAAACTTTAATTGTGGTGGTTTTTTTTTTAATTTTAATGAATACTAAATCTAGTTTTTTGTGTGCTGTCAAATTTGTGTTTGACATAAGTAATTAGAGGAGCACTTTCATTTAGTTTTGGTTACTTTGACCACTTTTCACCGAATAAACAACATGAATTGGTTGTTAAAGTATCTAGAGAGAGCAAAAAAAGGAGCAGGATAATTTCTAATCCAACAGAAGAGTTACGTGTGCTGCTCCATGAAGTGTTGGCAGAGCTTTGCTGGGCAGGGTGATAGTAGAGCAGGAGCAGAGAATATTTTTAGCTGCTGATTTGTTCTGGAGCTCTGAACCAGGAATAATGGAGTTGACCAAGAGATTTGAGGTGTGTGGACATTTGAAGTAGTAGTTTATCATTCTTAGAAAAAGCACGCGTGCTTGTAGAATGAGATGCATTGTTAATGGTGTATTTTAGTTTGAAAAGTTATTGTAAGTTTTTGAAGTTGTATGTTAATCTTGCTCTAATCATCATTTTGTGCTTATGAAATATGGAAGGTTTGTTTATTTTCCTCTTTTGTACAATGTATTAAACTCAGAATCTTATGATTTGAAGAGTATATTACTGTGATCAAGTTTGCAGTCCCATGTAGCACAGCAAAATTATTTTCCTGTAACTTTTGTTTAAAGCTCATAACTTTAGTTTGTCGTGGCTTTATCTGAAGTATCCTGTCTTCATGAAGTCCTTGCATGAGGAGAATTGTCCACTACTATAACCTATAAAAGAAGGTGGTGGATTCTTCATTTAACTTTGTATAGTTTCAGTTTCCAGTTCTCATCCTCAGGTGCATTGGCACTTTGTGTGTTAGGCTGGATTTTGGACACCAGCACGCTTTTGAAGTGTGGCTCCCAATTGTCCTCACCTGCTCCCTGATACAAGGAGTTAAAGCACAGCTGTCTGAGAGCACCTTCTGGGTGAAACTAAACCAGAAGATGTGCTCCAGCTGTGAGGGCCAGTTTAGGCCCTGGGGGTCAGAGCTGGTCTGGAAATAACAGCCCCTTCCCTGCCTCAGGGCCAGTGTCCTGTGGGTGCCAGTGTCCTGTGGGTGCTGAGTCCCAGCTCCACACATCCGCCCCTGTCGCATGGCACTGCCTGCTGATGCAGACCGAGCTTTATGGTACCAACGTGCCAACATCAGTCCTGGGCAAAGTAGCCTTATAAGGAATTTATTTTTCTTTCGGAACGTAGATTGGGATGTTGAAATGAAATCCTAGGAGAGCCTTAGCTTGGGGGGGATGTTCCTTTTTTACTTTCTAGTTACCTCAAGTATATTAAACTGAGTAATACTGAATTTGATCTCAGCTTTTTTACTGGGTTATTGATATTAATATGTTACGCAGGATTTAATCAAATATCTACAGAAGTTTTTGTGTGAGTGTAATTGTCCACCAAATCTGTAATCTCAAAAAGATTTGTTCTAGGAACATCCACTGCCCATAAACCATGTTTTGACTGTAGCTGTTCTGTGTCTTCACTAATTGCTGTCCTGATCAGTATTAGCATGACTTCAGTTGGTATCCAAGTCAGTCTAATAATTCTTTAAAACCTTTTCAAGTTCTGATATACTTTGTGAAAAAAACAAAAACCCCCACCTGCTACCCTTCACCCCCACCTCTCTGCACCCACCTTATTTCCCTTTTTTTCTTTAAAGTTTCAAGCAATAAAAAAGGAATAATAAAACCAGCAGTACTGATGGAGATTTACCTATTTTTCCATAGTTAAATGTTTTTATTGGTTAAAAATGTTCAACAACTTTTGCATCTACTGGAGGGACATAGAGATTCCATCATTAAACCAAAAAGTGAAGTGGTCTTCATTCTCTCTCAGTACAGAATGCAATCTGTTGTGGGTGGTAGGTATGCCTGAGGAGTTTTCTCTGTAGTTTCTAAGTGTTGCTTTGCATTTCTTACGGGTGGTTTTGAGCAACTGTTGTTCTGGGATATTTTTATATGTCTTCTGTACAAATTTAATGGATAAAGCTGAAGAACTCTGCTTAAGCATAATTTAATCTTCAATATAGATGGGGGATGCATTCATCAACTCTGAATTTACAGTTGGATCAGTCCAGGGACTTCCATTTTTCTTAGGGATTCCTTGTATTTTGCTTTTCTATAAAACCAGCTGCAAGTGTTACGAAACTTACCTGGGAGCTGCCAAGCTAGACTTGACCAAGTTTAATGAGCCTTGCACATTTGTGCAAAGCCTTGCCACTGCACTGCAATGTTTTGGTGTCTGTCTGAAAAAATCTCTTGGCAGTCTAAGGTGGGTAGGAAAGCAACAGCTTTCCTCTGTGGGTCTGCTGGGGTTTGGCTGGTTTGAGTCATTTTGCCCTCAGAGAGTATAAAAGGAGGCGGCACTGTATTGGCTGAAAACCAGCATTTTAGTTCTCTGGTTGTTGATTTGTAAATACACGTCTTCCTGCAAAATAATAATCCTGTCTTATTCCTTATCTACCTTATATATGGAAATGATTGTATCTTGTGTATTAGCTGACAGTAGTTATTTCTGAATGCACTTACGTGACAGAAGGCAGCTTTAATGTTTCAGATCTCTCAGATAATGTACATCCATCTGTTCTTTAGCGAATGCATCGCCTCTGTGCATATTGATAATTTCTGATGTAGCACTGCCTGTAATTAAATTTTGATAAAGCATTTTACAGGCTGCTGGAAAAAAAACAAGTTGGGTTTTTTGTGCAAATACAGAGTAAAACTGAAATCACCTACGACTGAAGCTAATTTTGTGAATTGATGGCCACTACAAAAATGTAGGAATAATTAAAAATATATAACAGTACTAGTGTATGTTCATTTTTTTAATTGGCTGGAATTTCATTTGGGTATATTAACAGTAACAATAGTGTTATTTTTTTCACTTAAGCATTTAGCAGAATCATGTATTTTATTACTTAAGTATTTCAATGCTGACCTTTCATGTTGTTTGCTTATAGGTACTTAGATTTTGGAGAAATTTACTAGCAGTAATTTTTGTCAGGCAAGGCACATGTCATTTCTGGGCTGCATGGGCTGCCGAGTGATGTCTGCTTCTCAGCACTGGGCATCTCTGTGGCGAATTTAAGACTTGGAAGTGATAAGGCTGTATTGTTCAGTGGGTGCTCTCTTCATTCATTTAAGAGAAAATCTTAGTAACAAGAAACAAAACTTTCAATTATACCTGAAAATATGCTTGCTCTTAAGGCATAAAACCAAAAGCAGTTTATCATTTGTGAGCAATATATAAAGTATGTAATGAAATGAGAGGGAAAATATAATGCCATTTGAAAATGACCTTTGTCCAATTTTTAGCAAGTAATATGACACACTTGGATCTTCTGTTAACATGAATGTTAATGGTTCTTCTGGACTCACTAGGAGGACAAGTAGTTCCTCTGGATTTTGCAGAATCTGGTGCTTGTAGATAGGAGAAGTAACTCTCTTGCTGCAAAGTTGTCTCCAGTCTGGGCTTCTCTAGCTGTGTGTCAAGTGGAAATTATTCCTTGTTTCTTGGAATTTGAAGTTGTTTGGGGTAATACAAAGTTTTTAATGCTTTATCTAATCAAAAATGTAACTTGTAATTTCCCACTTTTTTTGCCTCCTTAGAATGTGAAAGCATTTGCATCTTCAGATAGCCTAGCCAAGGTCCAAGAAGTAGCAAGCTGGCTTTTGGAAATGAATCAGGAACTGCTCTCTGTGGGCAGCAAGAGGCGACGAACTGGTGGATCTCTTCGAGGTAATGCTTCCTCAAGCCAAGTAGATGAGGAGCAGATGAATCGGGTCGTAGAAGAGGAGGAGCAGCAGCAAAGACGACAACAAGAGGAGCAGCACATTGAGAGGAATGGGGAGACAGGAGGAGAAGAAACTGGATATGGTGACAGGCATGAGTCTCAGCAGGAAAAAACAGCAGGAACAGTTAGAAGAAAATAACAATAGACTAATTACAGTGGATGAAGAATCCACTTGTAACCAGGAAGAAGATGATGATGAACATGCTGGTGATCAAGAGGAGGAGGTGGAAGAGGAGGAGGAAATGGACCAGGAAAGCGATGATTTCGATCCATCTGATGACAGCAGTAGAGAAGATGAACACGCTAACAGTAACAGTGTCACAAATTCCAATAGCCTCATGGACTTGCCCATTCACCAGTCATCACCATTCTACATAAAGACAAAGGTGAGAAACTGCATTTTTTTTGTGTGTGTTCTTAATCATTAAGCCTGGATTTTGGAAAACAATTTCCATATTTAACTTAAATGAAAGTTTTACAATGAAACAAAGATTTTTACTTCCTAAAGAGCTCATTATGAAGAATTTATGCAGTCCACAAAAATGATACTGTTTTAACTGTTAATAATCAAATTATTTGCATGCATTGGACATGACCAAATACTGCTATAGGTTTTAAGGAATAGAACTCTGATGACTGTGTTCAGAAGATCAGGATGTTTCTTTATAAATGTTTTTACATGTTACTCATACACTTAATAAGGCCCTCCCGGTGGTTTTTTTGGTGGTGTTTTTTTTTTTTCCTCAGAGCAGGCAAGAAGGAAGGTAAACAATTGTGCATGTGTGGTGTTCTCTGAGAATATCTGGTTCATTTAGATGAAAACATGGGAATGAAAAAATAGAATGGAATACTACGGAAACATGAATTTCTTCCTTCTGGCCAGGTTATAGCAAGTTCATTAATAAAACACAGGTTAAAAAAAAAAGTGTTAGCCAGTCATTTAGTTACAAAGTCATTACATAATGTTGTATGGTATCCTGCTTGTCAGGACCTTGTAAATTTTGTGCAATGATTGTTGAGAACTTCAAATTCTCAATAAGAATTTGGAAATAAATACTTGCAGTTTTTATTGCTACTTATATCACCTGACACTTTAGATCAAGAAAAAAATGGTTTTGGAGTATTAGCTCCAGTGTATGTCAGTAGTTCACCATTTTTTGAAATTCTTCAGGAAGGAGGTATTCTGTTAACTTGTAGCAGCAGTGAAAACTGAAAGAATAATGGAAGCGGGGATACCAACTAGTAAAAAAGAGGAACAGGCAAGTGTTTTTGCAGAAGAATGTTGTTCCTAAGTCTATGTACCAATTTCTTAATCATTAATTGGTAATAGAACACCTAGCCTCCTCTCACCTTTCAGAAAACAAACCAACAAAACACCCTCAAATTTTTAGTGTACTTTTTTTAAAAAAAACACCACCAGCTTACATCAAACAAAACTACAAAAAATCCATTAAAATAAGTTAACAGGGTTCCCTGTGTGTTTGAGTGTGAACATAAATGTATAGAGATGGAGAATCAGTCTTGAAGATGTACTAGAACAGGTAAATAAGATGAACATTTGCTTCTGGCAGCTGCAGCAATATGTTTCTGGTAGTAGCAATTAGCATGTAATTCACTTGTGTGTTCAAAGTATCTCAGCTAACATCTTTGATTTTTGAAAAGTCGTAATGTTTTCACGTAAGTTTTTATTAAATTATGTATATTTTTATTGATAATTCTACTGTTCAAGGTACTGAAGTGTATGCTTTCTTATTTAGAGTGAAACACTGTCATATTTTGTGTTACTCAATTGGCTTTTTACAACTCAAATTTTTGTTTTTATTCCAATGCTTTGGTTTTCCTGGATTTAGTATGACTTATTGAGCATCGTATGACACCTTGCATCCAGCATGGACTTAACAGTTAATGTAGGAAACGCTTACCCTCAAAAATATATTTTTAAGTCTCTGAATTGGAAACCTTTTTGAAGTGCTTTGTAAATAACCATACTCAAAATGTATACAGACAGAGCAGAGCATAGTTTTCAGTGATTGTTGGTTCTAAAGCTTTTCTTTGTCATCTACAATAATGGATGCAGGCTTTATCTTTCTTTTTTAAAGGGTATTTGACATAGACTGAAACAAGCTGGTTTAGCCTGAAGGAAGTTGTCTGAAAGATTTTTGTATAGATGCGCAATTTCTATGTGATCTGATAGCTGCTTTGCACATTGTTTCTGTGCAGTGCTGGCTGTTTTCATCTATGCTCTGACCCCAGGCTGTGCTCCTGTGAGAACTGTTGGGGAGCTAGGTAGCAAACTGTATTTGGGAGTTGTTCTTGATTCACGGTGCAGCTCTATTTTAGGCAATTTTAACTGTGTCCCTGAAGGATCAGCACAGGTTAGAAAGCTGCTTGGGCTGGTGCTGCTCTAGGTCGTGGTTACATAGTGAGACTGACTTAACGCAACATTAATGTTGCCAATTCATTAACAACTCAACATTTTACCATAGGGACACATTTTATGTTAAGAATTGTTGTAGAAATATAGCTGTGCTGGAGCATGAATGAATTACCAGAGTGAAAATAAACATGACTAAATTAATATGCTGCTTTTGAGAAGAAAAAGGAGTGTTTGTAGACGCATCAGCTGTATTTACAAGTGATTTCTGGTTCTGCCTGTTGAAGACAGGCTCATCCTAGCAGACTTGGACCTAAGGGACGTATTTTTAGCTTTTCAGATATGCTTCTTGGCATTTGTAGTCTAGTACAGTTCTCATAACTCTGGCTGAATTACCTGCTCTCTTGCTGTATGCTGTACTCCTGTGGAACTTGCTTTGAACCACCAGTATCAGCTGTGATGGCTGAATCCGCTACTTATTGTTTGTGTGCCAGATGTAAACCTGGCTGCTCAGAAGCATGCATTCCTCATCAAACACAGTTGCTAGTTTAGTAGGTGGTGCGTAGCAATATTGGCAACGGAGAGTTTTCATCACTACCAAATATCAAGGGATAATAGTGAGACTGAATAAAATAGCAACTGCTACTGCCGTAGGTGTCCTCGTGTAGCTCATCTCCACTTTTTGATATTTCTGTTCTTTATCCTTTTACTTTTTATTCCTTTCCTCATAAGCTATTCAAAGTCTCTTTCTGATCTGACTTTTTTTTGCTTATTGGCCTGTGGATCCTGTGCAGTTAAGGAAGGTTCCCGCATAGCACCACAAAGTATCCTGCTTGCATTTGCCGCCTGTCACCTGGACTTCCACTTGACAGCAGCAAGCCTGCTATGTTCTGCCTCATAAACTTCACCAGAAGCATACAAACCATTATATTTGTAGAAAAATATATTTTATATATATGCATGTTTTCTGTAATGTTTATAGAATATATATAAAATTATATATAAATATTTGACTCGTACTACTGCCCTGTGCAAATAACTGAGGTAATTGTTGCCCTAGTGTTGTGAAAATGTTACACCTAAAATGAGAAGGCTGGTGGTTCAGGAGAGTCTTCATTGCATTCACCAGCAGCACCCAGGAATCGCGAGGATCCTTATGTTTACCTGTTACAATTTCCTGCATAAAACGTTAGGCCGCTCTGTATTGACTTATGCGCAAGCTAAAGCATGTTTTTAGAAAAACTTCGACATTTGAAAAGAGGAAACAGTCCAGCAAGGTAAATCTTTCTCAAGCTTAGGTTAATAGTTTGTTAGTTATCATCAGTGTTTAAACTTCTGCAGCTTTACTCTACTCTGTAGAGACTTCCTGTTGTCTGTCTTTTTTTGACCATTATGATTTATTGGTTTTGTGTTGTACGGAAGAGCTGTTTAACAAGTGGGTTTTTTTCCCTGCAAACATAAAGCAATCAAGTTCGCTCCTGGAAGCTCTCTTAAATGTAAATAATAAGGACACTCTGTCCATTTGGCATATTTTTCTGTTCTTTGTTCTTGTTATGATGCTTCCCTGAACACTCTCTCTGATTTTTGAACATCTCTCTGGAATTGTAGATATTGGAACTGAGATTAAAACTCCAGTAGCAACTGTGCCAATGACAATTAAAATTTGTTCATGCTACATATTTACCTGTCTATGTAACAAACGATTCCGTTAACTCTTTTGACTGCAGCATTGCATTGGGATTTCGTGTTCATCTGATTTGTTGAACATGATGCAAGCCTTTTGCAGAGAGCTGTCTCTTCTGTATGCATGGCCTGTGTCCTTTGTACTTAGAGACAGGAATTGATGCTTGATTGTATTAAAGTGAGTAGGGTTTTCTCACATCAGGTGTACCTCATCAGGTCCTTTACTGTTTGTTAATTTTCACTCTAACTGATCTGTGTCATTTCAAATGTTGTCATGTCTGTTACATAAAAGTAAAGGGCAAAGTAAATATGTGCAGAACTCTTACCGAAACATGCACGTGATACTGATTCTTCACTGATTGCATCATGCTTGTGGCATCCATTTCCAGTGCTCTCTGATGAGTTTGTGTTACTTGAGTTCCGTAGGAATGGCCATGTAATAATTAACCACAATATAAGCAAACAAATATACTTACAGTGCATCACATCTTTCATAGCAGCTGCTCTTAATTGCTTTTACCCCTCAGTACATGTGGGATTCTGCACCACTGCAAGGACAAGAACACATTAACTGGTAGTCACCACACTGGGAAATAGCTCATGTGAATTAAATTTCTTGCTTATTTTATATTTAAATTGGTTGTCTACCTGTGTTCATACTTTTGAAATTGTGGTATTAGCAAATATATCGTACCAACAATGTTTTATCTTTATCAAAACTGGTGTTTATGACCAATGATAACCAGCATGGTTTTATGGAAAAATTGGCGTCAATGCAGTTAATCCTATTACTTTGTCAACCATTGCATTATTTTCTCTTGGACTAACACCTGGATTTCACACTATGATTATCCAGGTTGTACTCTGTTCGCTTTTCTATTTTTTTCTATATATCATTAGGTTTGTTTGAGATTTCTGAAAGGTTTTGTTTTTTCTAATTCTTAAAAATAATTTTTATCATAATATGTATCATCTTTAACTCATTCTATCTTTTATGTCTTTTTGTTTGCTTAACTATTTCTACAACTCTGTTTTGTAATTTTTAAATAATAATTTCAGCTTCAATGTACTTAAATCTTTTGGCTTTAATTGAGGCTTTCGGTTTCAAGTTGAGTTGTTTAACTGTTGTGAACTCTTCTTATTTGAAGGAGTATTGGCTTCTTGATTATCTTAGAAATTGTTTCTAAACGGTTAAAACAATTTACAGGTTCATTCAGCTTTGGTTTGGATTTGGTGTATTTTGTGGAAGGGGGGAAAAAGTCATGATCACTTACACCCAAGCTACCATGAATTTAACTTTGTTCTGTTAGTTTTTCTTTATCTAAAATT